TATCTACCTCTTAAATGTATGAAGTAGGGATACCAGTTCATTAAAGGATTACCCAACTTCTCTTCCCCCTCCCCCTCCCCCTCATGATAACAAATGAAGGATTTCTATTTAACAATTATTCGCCAAAGGCGTGGTGAATATCGTCGAATAATCCCGGAGACGAAGTCAAGGGGATAATTCGACAATACTCACCTCACCTGAGGCAAATAATTGTTTTGGTATAATTTCAGAACTGAACAACAGAGAAATTTCTAAAATCACAACATTTTAGTAACATTTATTAACATTTTAGTTTAACATTTTCTATAAACCGCGTGGAGTGGTTTATATACCATCATATAAGGAACCGCTTGACCAATCAGATTGCTGGAAACTCTTTGCTCAGCTCTGAAATTATACTAAAATGCTATAATGCTCATGGTGATTTACATCACTTTATGAGGGACTCTGGCCAGACTGCATTGAGTGGTTTCCAGTTTTTAAAGGAATATTTTACAGATGACCCCAATTTCAGAATCAAGGCCAGACGGCAACATTGGGAGCTACATTGTATATTCCCTACTCTTTAGAGAAGTGCATGGGTTCTTTAACGTCCCCTACTAACCAGTACAGAGAAGGTGAAGGAAGAAGGGCCAATGGTTTTCCGTCCTCACCTGAGAAGACTGGAATGTCCAACCATTTGCAGACTTCACAGCAGAGGCAGCACATTCTCCTCAGTTATTTTAAGACCCTGAGTGTTGGTCTGGTCTGAGACTTAGACCATTAGCCACCCAGAGGGCACAAAAACACACACACACATTTTTGTGATTTCCCTGACAACTTTTTTGGGTCCACTAAACCATACTAGGGACTTCATTTTCACACGACACTGTAGAATTCATAGTGGATATGGTGTGTGTGTGTGTGTGTGTGTGAAAGCTAAAACAGAGCACTAAAAGTCCATGAGGACGCTTGGAGGAAGGAAGTCATGAAGGTGTTATAAAATCTGTATCCAACAACTTGTATGCACAAATGACAGAAAACAAACCTCTAGCCTCAGACCCGTCAGATCTCTCTTCATGGCATAAGCATCTTCACCATCAGCATAATATTTTGGCTCAATCTCCGAGATGCTGTTTAGAAAACAAAGAAAGCAGTTCTTTAACAATCTCATGGTGAGATGTGTGCATTGAAACAAGAATATGGAAATTTTAAGATATAACCAAACTGTTCCACACCATAAAACATCCCCACCCATTCTACCTAGCGCCCCCCTCCCTAACCCTAACCCTACCCTTCCAAAAGTAATCAAGTTACTAAATTTCTCTTCATACAAATGCTCCAAAACTTTACTTTTAGAACTCCCGACCCCTTTAGATTGTATTTCTGGTCACCCTTCTTGATGTGAGTATACAACTTTATGGAGCCACACAATTTGTGCAAGTCTTTGTTCCAGATTTTACTCTATTGAGGAAGCTAACCTGAATCCCAGTGTCTTGTTATAAAGATGAAGAGCTGCCCTATTGCTGTTTCAAAAAAAATCATGGTGTGCTACATCAGTAGAGTGAAAGATTATTTCTGAGGAAAGCACACACTGTAGAATTCTTAAGTTACTTATCGTTACAGATATTTTACATCTGCATAATTTGAAGAGCTGTCAATGGTTATGTGCAGTTTATACAGTATTCAATTTGTATGATATATAATTCTAATTTCTCATATAAACACCAATAAAGTACCAGGTGAGCATTCATGCAAAAACATGATATGTTCACATGCAAAAATAATATGTTATCTTTACTCATGAAAATAACAGCATTATAACTATAGTTATGTAATAAGTTGTGCCTTTTGGAATGAGAGCAAAATGGTTTGGTTTTTCATTGGTCTTTATATAATAAATAGTATATTACATGGGTCGTTGGAGATATGACATTTCTTTTCTCAACTTCAAAAATATTTCACTTGTTCACTTCAACACTCAAAGAGAGATTTTGTATCGCCCCAAGGCCATGCCATCCTCTATCTATCATATCTGCACTGAACCCTTTTCTTAGAAAACACATTTTCCTTTTGCAATAACTCTCTTCACTCAAGATTACACCAATCGTGTACTGTTAATTTTTGAAAACAAACCATAAAATTCTCAGAGGTTATCACGATGTGGAGTCTGGGGAGAGTAAAGTTTTTAAGTTTCTCACTCATAATTAACAACTTTTCACCAAAGTGGAGATGGTTAGTGGTGGATATTTACCGAGCCGCAAAGCGGCGAGGTAAATATCCACCGCTAACCACCGACACTGAGGTGAATAGTTGTTTTAGTATATACTAAAACAGTGAGATAATATACAGCACCAAAAATTGATTTGAGTGATTTCTTCGCTTGTCACGGATGTAAACCGGGATGCCATTTTTTCCCGAGTTGCTTGGAGGTAAATAGCAAAGGATATTCGGAGTTTGACTAGCCAATCAGAGTGCGCCTTCAACGCTATCCACTGTTTTAGTATATACTAACAAAGGATATTGTTTGTAATAAGGGCTTTGGTATAATCAGCTATGCATAATAGGAAAACAGGAACAGAACTATTCTCGTTCTGAGAAAACACTCTTAAGCAAAAGCAAAACTGAACAACTGATGAATAAAGGGTGAAAGTTTCTGGAGAAACCGTGGTGCTGTGTCGGTAGGGGTAACGAGGTAATTGGTTATATCAAATAAGTTAAAATTGTAAATTGGCCACCGTAACGAGTTAAAAAGCTGACCTTTCGAGCATTAGCCCTTTGCTCTGACGAAGGGCTAATGCTTGAAACGTCAGCTTTTAACTCGTTATGGTGGCCAGTTTACAATTTTAACTTAGTTGATATAACCAATAAACAACTCATGGTTTGTCTTACCTTTTTCTTACATGAAGTGAGACGTACTGGGCATTGAAACATTCAACCATAGCACGGGAGGCCTATGTTTAGAACAGATTCTTTATATCACTTACATGTTAAAGCAATTTCAGCAATTAATTCCTAGAGAATGCCATGGATACACATTACCTGTTCCATGAGTTTTTGGGCCAAACCCAGTCTTCTGTGAGAGCGTTTAACTGCCTGTAGAGTATATATAATATTAGTGCTTTCTAAAATTGTACAAGCACCACCAAATTCTGTCAATAAGCTCAGAGATTACCAGTATACAATCCTCTGATAAGATTTTACCGGTGTTGTACTAGGCTACCCAAATATATCTTTCAGTCCTTGACTTTATTTTCTTGCTCATTATAAATTCTTTAATAAACCCTTTCACCTCTAAGAGTGACTTGCATCTAAATTCTCCTTACAATATCACCCCTGAAACAAACATTAAGGTCAGGAGAATAGAGGAAATGATCACCAACTAAAGGAGCTCTTGATTGTTAACCAAATTCTCCTCATTAGCACCTTAGGAAATGTATAGAGAACAGTATGGAGAAGATGAATAGTGATGTTAGGCTGTAAAAGGGTCAAGTACGATGTCATTTGTATTTCAAGAAAAGAATGAGGAAACTAGTATGTAATTTCAGGAAGGGGGGTAGAAATAGCATTGAAGGTGCTTTCAGGTAGGGAGGACAAAATTAGATAATGCAGTGGCAGAGGCTGGTGTACCACAAAACATTTTCCGACATCAAATCTCAGGAACCAAGCATCTGGGGAAATGATATGTAACACGATAGCATCATCGTTGACTATTAACAATCCACAATTAATAAGGAGTACAAAATGATTACCAAGGAAGTGATATGCCCATGAACAGCTTCATCAGGCTCTTCTTCCCTTAGAGCCAAAAAAATGTCAAAAAAGGAGAGAAAGAATGAGTGAAAAAAGGACAACTTAATAACTAGAAGTATGATTTTTCTACAAGACATATTTTGAAAACTATACTCCACTGTTCATTTGTAGATCTGCTAACAGATGACATAAAATGAGGGAAGAACAATAAAGTGGTAGCAGAACTTCATGTAAGTGGGTAATTAATGTTTTCACCACAAACAGACATCAACAACACATGTTGACTGACTGTTTTAAACACGTCAGATATAATATCCATATTTTCTCAAACCGATCAATAAAAACTAGTTACTTTATTTAAGGGATAAATATCTCCTATAATTCACCTTCGTGATGGTAAAGATGAGTTGGATTAATCCAGAAGACAAGTGCTATCTTAAGTGTTTGCACATTATATTATTATAGCTCCCTGTCAAATCAAGACGTCTGATGTGGCTCGATCACTAAAAACATTCGAGATTTTCCTTACATTTTTGCCAGTACATATCCCACAATCTTCCCCTTCTCATCCTCTGCAACATATGACAACTGAAACAAAAGAAGATACAATAAAATAAATAATTAAGAAAACCATACACGTGATAAATCGCAGAATGCATGGATGATGATCTGAGCCAGCTGATTTGTAAATTATTTGTTTGCTAACCTGAGGCCAAGATAGACCGTGGTAGAAATAATACTTCATTTGATAATTTTCAGGTAAGCACAGCAGGTTACAATGCTGCATATTCATGAGATCTTCAGGCTGAAATGTCAAAAAATAAAAGGGAAAGCTGGAGAACATGTGCGAATCAAGAATGTTTTGGATAGGCATATCTTGACCAAACCACGAGATCAAGCCTTGAATGCACGAAGATTTAAAGAAAAAATAACTTAAACTTACCGTAGCACACCTAATGTTCATTTTAGTTGCTTTTGGAAGGAATATTGGAAACTTTTAACTAATTTTGACACAGACCTGTGAGTAGTGAAATTGACGGTCTAAACCCAGGTGAATGAAAAATTAAATTTAGTGATCAGCGGTCTTTCAACTTACCCATAGTTCTTTTAGGTCTCGTGGCGCGAAGTAACCACCATGGACGAAATTGAATTTCCGATCATTTCGTAATTCCGGTACAGATTTGTGTTTTCGTTTCAACATCTCACGATTTTTTCAACAGATTTCAGTTGAATGGATGACAGTGCGATGACCTCTCCCCTCATGTTAAACCCCTCGGGCACAAACAGGAGATACTGTTCTGTTCTTGACAGTCTAGATGAGGTTGAGAGAAGGGACTCACATCTTGACAAAGAAGTGATTTGTATCGAGGATTCCCCAATTTCTACTTCAAGCGCTGTCAATGGAAAAACATCGAATATAACTCCTTGTTCTTCTGTCCATGAAGAAGAAGATGCTGTGAGCATAGAAGAAATTTTTGTTTCCGTTAAGCCGGGAACCTCGCGCGAGTCTGAACCACCAATAGTCTTTCTTGACGATCAAGAGGACGAAGTTTCATCTTCATGTTCGACTTTAGTAAACATGGATATTCAAGATTATTATGAGAGGATTGCGAACGAAGAAGAACCTTCGACTTCTACGAGAAGAGGAAATCAGTTACGGAAAGGAGAACAAGATTTTACCGTCCCTTGCTTAGAGACGAGAGCTTCACTGAAAGCTCGCTTTGAATCTAAGTTTAAGCTTCACATGAAACTACGAAAGGGTGCTGGTATCTGTAATGCGTCACAGTACCGACAGAAGTTTTACAGGTACAAGAAGGATTTACACAAGCAGCTTGATGAGTGGGAAAACTACTTAAATGAGCAAAGTGCCCAGGAGGCTTACATTGCTGTGGAGAATGTAGTTGATAATGAAGGCCCACCCAAAGATTTCATATACATAACTAACAATGTGTTACACAGAGATATACCCAGTCATTTGTTTGACGTTGATTATCTTGTTGGGTGCAGCTGTGAGCGGATCTGCTTGATGGAAACTTGTGACTGCCCACGAAACAGTGGGGGAGAGTTAGCCTATGACAGAAATGGCAGGGTGCGTGTGAAACCAGGCACGCCAATTTATGAGTGTAACTCACTCTGTCCTTGTAGTCTGTCATGTAGAAATCGCGTGTTACAGCGAGGCCGCACTGTCAAGGTGAGTGCTTTTCAAATTTCGTATGCGGACAAGTTATGATGTTAGAAATGTAACTGTCAGTGGTTTGTCGTTTTCTTTTTATAAGCCAGGCAACCAAACTTACAGTATGCACAGCATTCATTGGAAGAATTTTGTGTCCTGTTGGCCTGTGGATTATGATCTTGGTTACCAAAATGTTTCACATTAGGTACTGCCTATGTGGGAAATTTCAGCTTTGTTATTTAAGTAAATAGAAGATGACCTTTCACGTTTTCTTCTGTTACCACTCTTGAGTATTCATATGAAAACTTTTTCGGCCTGGTAATCCAGATCTGAGTTACCGAAATCCAGATATCCACAACACAGCTAGCTTAATTTCTTATGAATATGCTGATATTTGTCCAAGGTTAAGAAGGGGGAGGTAAGATCTTCTGCGCTGGATCAGGACTCTCATGAAGAGACCATAAATGGTTCTAGAGAACTACTGAAACACATTAGGACCTTTGTTTTTTTTTACTGTTGTTCACGTTTTTTTTGATGTAAGACCATTTATGAACAGACTTATAAGGCTGGCCAGTTCCATTCAAACTTAAATGCTTATTAAATGCTGAGAAGTAGCGTAAAGAGTATCAGGGGGTGGTACAGCCTCTTGGTCAGTTTCTGTACCCAGATATGACTCTCTGATGAGAACTACTATGGGAGCATAAGGACCCATCTTTCAACCTGAGACCCCCCAACACTACTGTGGGTCACCTTTAAAGAAATGGGAATTGTCTTCCCTGGGTGCTCCAGGTCAATAGGGGTTACAAATCATTTACTGCAATTCCACATAGCTGGCCTTTAGAAGTTGTACTTACTAACAGTGTGGTTAAGTCAAAATTTAGTAAAGCCATGACATAGATATTTCATGTTGGACTCACAAAATTACATGATTTGAAGGTAGGGTTATTCAATTGTAATAACATTACCCTCATTTTCCTCCACCAATTCTCGTCCATGCTCCCTCAAGGAAGACCATATGTACTTGCTATTTTAGCAGATGACCCATCTGTATAGGTTCACTGATCCAGTAAACTACACATGATGATGGAGCACACTATGATTTTTTATGAAATAAAACCTTCCCTCCAACATTCCAACTTGAACACAGAACACACAGCTTCTCAGTTGCCCGAAAGTATTACTAATATTAAAGAATAAGAAATAAAGAAAGAAATAATAAAAAATTGGTCTCCTTTGATGTTACTATGGTATACATGTAAGGTTATGAGATTACTCTGAAAATAATGTAGAGCTTCCTGAGGACAGCTTTGTCTTGTTTTCTTTGACCTATGTTAAGTTGAACAGCTGTATTTATTCTCTGAAATAAAGGTAAGAGTCATCACAAAATAGATTTGGGGCAAAAATTGTCTGCTTAAGTCACAGAAGTTGAGTTTAGAATGTTTGATCATTCAGGCGATTCAAGTGACATCAGCTATGTCACCTTCATGGTTACATGCATTCAGATCATGTGAACAGAGCTGAATAATGAAATGCTATGTCAGAGGGTATGCGGTCAACAACGCGTGCTCAAGTGTCCCAGGTCTAAAATTTAGCGAAATTAGCGGAAAGTAACAAGGGCTGACTTTTTAAACCGAGGAATTCTGTTTTCGTCGAAGGCATTTTCCTAGTTTCAGAGTTTTTAAGGAGAAGATTAATTTTTGAAAATTTTTAGGGAGTGTACCAAGTTTTTAGAAGTTATTCTGTAAAAGAAAAGCAGCAAGGAAAACGACTCCTCGAAGCAACAACCATGTGAACAGCAATTGCGAACGACTCAAAATCCGTTTTTCCATGGCAAAACCTAGCGCATGCGTATATGTTATTCAGCTCTGTCGGTCATGTGTGATTCCATATTGGGACAAACTATCAAGTTCTCTGCTTTCTCTGACTGTCACTGTTTTGCCATCTGCTTCCTGTTCTTTTTCTAAGCACTGCTTGAAGATGTTTCTGTGTCATTAGTGGCCATATGGTCCAACAAACCCCATTCAGTTGAATACTGCTTCCACAAATTTTGTGGGGCTTCCAATTTACCTTCTATCTCTTGGAGTTCTACATATTAATCCATGTCTAGGAGTACAGATGTGATCTTGTTGAATTTGTGAAGTTTGCTCTTCAATGAGATTCTGTGCAGAGGCAGAAAAGCTATCATTACCTTTCTTAGTGTTCATTATCTCATTTTTTCACTTTTAATGAATATCCCAGTTTTTTTCATTTTGCCTCAACTTCAACAGTTTGCTGACAGGTGAAGCCATCATCTTCTCCTATAGTTACTCTTTTCTTTTTGGTGTTGCTGGCCTTCATCTTGGTTTCTTTTTTGCTACCAGCTAGTCCTGTATCAAGATGTAATCTTGAACCAAAATGCTATAACACTTCATTTGTGCAGCATTTATTTGACCCAAACTTTTAAATTCTTTACAACCTAACATCAGCATGCAGATTCTCCATACTGTTCTTCATACATTTCTCAAGGTGCTGACAAAGAGAATTTCTTTAACAATCAAGAGCTTCTTTAGTTGGGGATAATTTCCTTTATTCTTGTGACCACACTGCTTGATTTAGGGACAATCTTGTGCAGAGAAATTAGGTGCCAGCCACTCATAGGAGTTCAAGTGTAAATGTGACACCACCTTGCCTCTCCACTACTCTGATTAATCTAGCAGTGTCAAAGTGTTGGTCATTTACATGTAATTCAGGTGTCACAGGAGGGTCCAAGCCTTGGATTTCAGTACCTTTCAGCATGGTTCAGTCAACAGCCACAAGAGTAAAGTTTCTTTATTTCACTCATTGTGAAGATCTTAAGCTTCTTGACTGTGATGCGTACAGAGTCACCTCATTCCACCTCAGTAAATGAGAATGGAATTGACTTAAGTTCTGGTTTTTCATTTATCCTCTGCCTCTAGAAGACATATACAACTGCTAGAATACTAGAAAAATTCTTAATTCAAAACCTCCAGGTTTAAAAAAATCAGTTAAGAGCTCCAAGGTTTCACTGAGCTCCATCTTTCATTTGCCCTGTCCCTAGTAATTCCCTTGTCTAGACCTCCAAGTCTTAAAAATTTCCTTTCTGAAGTAAGCTCCTCCTCTGTTAGGCCTCATTTATTAAGCTCAACTTTCATTAATAATTCCCATCTAGACCTCAAGGTTTAAGTGAGAAATCTCTTTGCCCAACCTCCCTCTCTTTTAAGCCCCCCCTGTCTAGAGCTCCAAGATTAAGCAAGCCACTCTTGATGAGGCTTCCCTCTATTTAGCACCCTACCTGTAAATTTCTCTATCTAAAGCTCCAAGTTTAAGCAAGCCCCTCTATATAAGGCTTTACTCTCTATTTAGCAACCTGTCTGAAAATTCCTTTGTCTAGAGCTCTAAGCAAACCCCTCTTTATGAAGCACCCCTCTTTATGAAGCATCCTATCTGAACATTCCTAAGTGTAGAACTCCAAGTTTAAGCAAGCCCCTCCTTACGAGGCGTCCCTCTCTATTTAGCATCCTATCTGAGAATTTACAAAGCCTCCCTCTCTATGTAGCACCCTATCTGAGATTCCTCTGTACAGAGCTCCAAGTTAAAGCAAGCCCCTCTTTATGAGGCCCCCCTCTCTATTCTGCACCCTATCTGGACATTCCTAAGTCTAGAACTCCAAGTTAAAGCAAGCCCCTCTTTATGAGGCCCCCCTCTCTATTCCGCACCCTATCTGGACATTCCTAAGTCTAAAACTCCAAGTTTAAGCAAGCCCCCTCTTCACAAGGCCTCCCTCTCTATTGAGCACCCTATCTGAGAATTCCTCTGTCCAGAGCTCCAAGTTATATTAAGCCCTCTGTATTAGGCCTTCCTCTCTATTTAGCCCCCTCTTGGGAAATTCTGCTGTCTAGAGCTCCAAGTTGTATTAAGCCCTCTGTATTAGGCCTCCCTCTCTATTTAGCCCCCTCTTGGAAAATTCTGCTGTCTAGAGCTCCAGGTTTTATTAACCCCCTCTGTATTAGGTTTCCCTCTCCATGTAGCACTTTCACTGAAAATACCTCTGTTTAGAGTTCCAATGTTAACTTACCCCCCTGTTTAAGGCCTCCCTCTTTACTTAGCTCCCTTGCTGAAAATTCCTCTGTGTAGAGCTTCAAGTTTAAACAAGCCTCCCACATTTGGCCTACTTGTCTATTTAGCTTCCTCACTGAAAATTCCTTTATCTAGAGCTCGAAGTTTAAACAAGCTGTTTAAGATAGGCCTACCTCTCTTTTTAGCTCCCTCGCTGAGAATTCCTGTCTTGCTCCAAGTTTAAACAAGCCCCCTATGTTAAGCCTAGTTCTCTATTTAGCTTCTTTGCTGAAAATTCCTGTCTAGAGCTCCAAGTTTAGACAAGCCCCTAAGTTAGGACTACCTCTCTATTTAGCTCCCTTGCTGAAAATTCCTCTGTGTAGAGCTCCAGGGTTATGCAATCTCCACTTCATTATTCGTCCCCCTCTTTTTAGCACCCTATTTGAAAATTCCTTTGTCTAAAGCCCCAAGTTTTCTCTCTGTATTGATCATCCTCCTTTTAGTTGTCATTCTTAAATATCCCATCTAGATCTTAAAGTTTTTAGAAATATCCCTCTCCATTACCCTCCCCCCCCCCCATCTTAATTAATTATGTGTTAAACCATCTAAGTGAAGTTATTGTACTGGGAAATACTGAGAGAATAGTAACATAACAAGCAATTCTTGAGGTTAAGAGGTTTTAATTTTTGTTTCAACTGTACTTTACAAACAGGTGGCAATATTCCGAACTCCAGATCGTGGGTGGGGTGTCAAGACCATGGAGCGCATAGAAAAGAACCAGCTGGTCACTGAATATGTTGGTGAGGCCATAACGCAAGAGGAAGCTGAAGAACGGGGAAAGGTTTATGATAGTCGCGGGCAGACATACTTGTTTGACTTGGATTTCAATGAAGGAGAATGCCTGTACACCCTTGACGCCAAAAAATATGGCAACATATCACACTTTATAAATCATTCGGTAAGATTGTCTCTAGGTGAAGATAAAATTCTTTAGTATTCGCTAAAACCCCAAGGACAACAGGACCCCAAGGACAACAGTGTTACACACTGATGGGTTTTCAATCCTGTATAAAAATTCGTTATTATTATTATTATTATTATTATTAACAGTGCATACTTTCAAAGGCATGCTCTGATTGGCTGTTCAAACTCCAAATGTCCTTTCACCCCAGAGCAACTTGCACAGGAATTGCACTGGAAAAGATTTTAACAACTATTCACCTCAGTGTTTGTGGCTAGCAACAAAGCATTGATTGTTTTCCTCTTTAGCTCTAGCTCTAACCCCTCACACCCTGACATCATTATGTATATTCTCCATACTGTTCTCTATACATTTCCAAAGGAGCTGACAAGGAGAATTTGTTCGTAAATCAAGAGCTCCTTTAGTTGGTGATCATTCCCATTATTAATAATAATAATAATGACTTAACTGGATTTCACAATTACTGGTAGAACCAGTAGTTCTCATTGTGGTCCATGCAAATAACTGAAACAAATAATTCAAATTGAACATGACATTATTAGGAATCCAAACTGGCTGAAGGCAAACCAGTTGGCTATTGACAAGCATGGCCGAGGATTTGACCTCGGAGCCACTGTGAAACAAATCCAGGTAGTGGTCAGGGGCTGGACTCGAACCCGGGAGCAGCAAATTGTGAGTCCGACACGCTGACCACTCAGCCACACTGCCTCCTTGTGACCTTGATGCATAATTCAAGGAGTGATATTGGAAGGAAAAATTAGATACTAAACTCTCATAGGGATAAAAGGTTAAAGAAGCTCTTTATGTCTCTGTCCTCAGTGTGATCCCAACCTAGATGTCTATAATGTCTGGGTCGACACCCTCGAACCAAACTTTCCACGCATTGCCCTCTTTGCAAATCAAAATATTGAAGTTGGAGTGGAGCTGACGTTTGACTACCAGATGTCATTGGATACAGGAAGTAGTTGTTCCTCCCCAAGAAAAAAGGAACACATAAAATGTCACTGTGGTGCAGAAAAATGTAGAACATTTTTATTTTAAAGAATTTTGTAGATTCATACACTTTGCTGTATAATTTTGCAGTTTAAACCACCGTATAGAAAACATTTATTACAGTCACTGAAAGAAGCCATTGTAATCAGCATTTAAAAAAAAAAAACAGAAGATTGTGTTCAAAATTATTGTAGATGGCTATGATAAGAAAATGTTAAGAGCAAAGTAGAGGTTTGATATTTTAGCTTAAACATTTACAGCACTTCTTTGTTGTCACCATATCACACACTATGGGCTAGTTATTTACAAGAGGTCTAACCCAAACCGTGCAAGCTTTGGGCCCAAGGATTCTCCATAAGAGGGTTGATTTAATTAAACAAAATTAATGTCCTTTCACTATTAGCTTTCAGCCCTGTTGAGACTGTTGACAGCATTAAATGTTCAGATAAAAGATTTGGCTGATTGAAGATGGCTTCGAATGCAGTTTTGTTAAAGAATGACAAGACCTTGTTTAAATAACTGGCCCTATAGAACTTTTATTCAGATTCAAGGTGCAATGGCATGTACACACAAGAAACCCTTACTATTATGTCAATAAATCACTCATTTATGGCAACTTTTTAATTTTGTGGAGTGACTTATCATCTGTTATAGAGATTTTTTTTCAGTGTAACTGCCAAGATGGCAGCAGAAATGTACCCACCCATGCTGGTTGATGATGTAAAGTATCCCACAGAAATCACCCAATTCAAACTGATTTTAGAACTGATGCTAACTTTTAAGGTGCTATAGATGAGGATGTCTGGTGTTTCAAATTTTTCATCAGCTTGCATATGTTGACTTCATGTTTAAAAGGGGACTGCTTAAACACTGTTAAACATGTTTATGTGACCTGTTAGCTCAACCTACACAAAATCGGTGCCAAGCCCACTGCTATGAAAAGTCAACCAGTTTACATCGACAGAGACTAAGCCCACTGGCTGGCTTGGGAAATGATTTTGGCCTGACTGCCATTCATGACAAACAGCCTGCGACAGAAATGAGCTGGGAGGACCTCTCCCAAGAGGCCCCTTTTGATCAAACAGTTATCCAATTTCACCTACCCCCCCCCTCCCCTTCCACTTATGGTGGAGCTTTGGACACACAGCTATTAGCAACCCACTTTCTATCAGGGCTGTCCCTGAGGCGGAGCAGCTATCGTTGAAATATCGGGATTTAAGGCCGGTCTCTCTCTGCTGTCTGGGAAAAAGCGCCAGCTCAGATTGCGAAGCAACCGTTTGGTTCGCGCCCAATCGCTACCAAACAATTTGTATCAATCAAGGCACAACTAGCTAACCAGGGCGTGCTACACCTGAGGTGTCAGAAGTGCGCACAAGGGAACACAAAGGCAGGAAAGAAGCACAAACGAGGAGTGTGCAAAGGTGACACGAAAAAACGCACGAGGAGACCCTTCGGGGAACACAACAAAGAGCTCTAAGAGNGTATTATCTGATTATAAACTCTAGTGTCTGATTTGAGATAATGGTGTCTGATTTTGAACACTGTAGATATTAGCGTTCGCTTTTAGATACGTCTGATTTCAGACACCAGTGTCCCGTTTTAGACACTATTGTTCAAAATCAGAAACTATTGTCTGTCTATAGACTCAGTTGTCCGATTCAGGGCTCTAATGTACGATTTCAGACACAAGTGTCCAATATTATACACAAGTGTCCGATTTTGTTCAGTACTGGTGTCCGATTTTAAACAGATTTTGACACGTGTGCAGATTTAGACACTTGTGCCCTTATTTAGACGAGGCTGCTAACGTTTGGCGAACAAATTAAATGGAAAAAAAAGTTTGGAGAAGAGATTTCATGTTTAAATGAGATTCTAGAGGTGGCTCATCGCCATTATGCAATACGTGATTTGGTAAGGCAAGGTATATGTATATTTTGTTAGCTCAACATAAAAATTTGAAAGCTTTTTTCCCATAAATTAAAATAAAAGAATTTGAATTTTTTTATTAAAAGTAATAGCCCATTTCCGAATTACCCGTGGCCTCATTTTCAAAACGAGTCCTGATTATCCGAGTCATATGATTATAAGTTTTCATTCACATGCAAATTAAACTCATTTCCACAAGAATGGTTGAGCACCAGGCCTCGTTTTGAAGAAGAGGCCAAGGGTAATTCGGAAATGGGCTATTCCTCAAACGGCTTGCTCTTGACGCATTTGTACAAACGTTTGATTTCAAAACTGAAATAAACTGTGGAAATTTTCCAAACTAGTTAGATTTTTAGATTCAAGGTGACGAGTCAAACGCTATAACTTGGGAAAAATATGGTTAGTAAAATGCTATAACTATAGAAATTCGCGTATAACTTGGCGAGCCATCTTACGGAGAACTTACCAGGCAACTTAACACTTAACCAGACTTGGAAGGAATTGCTTTATCTTTAAAGCAGTTTAAGAGGGTGCGCTATGATTGGTCAGCGGGCCGTATTTCACTGTGCAGCCCGCTAAATTCAAAAGCTTTTTTCGAATTGAAATCTCTCCCCCACCCCCTCGAATTTTAAATCCAGATATATATATATATTTAGCCAAGCCTAAAAGCGGAGCTCCCAAGTTCGTAATATTAATGATAACATAAAAGATGTGCATTTGTCAAGACTCGCCTGAGACACCCCTCCCTTCGTTTTGATAGTCTCCTCTACCCTACCCGTGAAATCTGAAGGCACGTACGTACGTATGTACGTACGCTCGGTCAGTCACGTGACAACCAAACGAGGTTGACCATATTCCATGGGTATGGGGCTCTCGTGGGAGCCCCACTATAACATATATCTCACTGACCTCGTTCTCTCGGTCCGTACTGTAAGTTAGGGAGCCTCGTTTTTTTTCGCGCTCGGTCCGTATCTTACAGTGCGGGCCTTGGATTCGGTAAGGAAGATGCGCGTTGTATCTTGGAAAAAAATTCCGCCTTTCTCCAAATTTTTTTCGACTTCGAATTTTTTTCTCATACTTTTACATTTTAGTTGGCAAAGTTCCTTCCTTTTCAAGAATTGAACATTTATAATGATTCCTGCCAATAATTAACAACTATTCACCAGTGTGAAGGTGGCTAGTGGAAGACATTTATCCATCGACTCTGAGGTAAATAGTTGTTTTATGAAGTACTTAAACAGCGAGATGATATAAGTCACTAAAAAGATGTTTTTAACTCATTTAATCCTACAACGACTGCTATTTTCAGGCGCAAATCCCGTGTGAATTACACAGAGGCGAATGGCAGAGGACAATCGGAGTTGAAGCAGCGAAACACAGCGTGCCTTCAATGCCATCCACTGTTTGGGTATGTAGAAAGTTACGAATGTTACTTGCGCAACACGTTTTATTTNTTTAATTGTTACCAGTTATCAGTTCGTTACGTTTAAGTTTTATTATTCATGCCGTGATTGTTAGGAATCAAATTTCGTTATATAACCTTTAAAATCGATATAATCAGCCACTACTAAATTTTTTTGCATTTGTTAAGCTACGTTATCCGTCAAGCCACGCCATCTTAAGTTCTGAAAGCTATCTCAAAAGTTTCTATTAATTGCTACCCGCAGGAGCAAGATCAAATTCGAACCACCGTACGCTCGCTACTACAACTTCAGTTTTGACATCCGTTCCCTATACTGTTTTGATTCGCCGCTTTTTCTATTAAATACTCTGATTATTCAACTCTTCAACGTTCAATTGCTCGAGCTAATGGCTTTGCGCTTATAAAGGTCACAACAATAGCTTTCAGACAATAGCGACCTTCAGCAAACTACAATGGCAACGGCCACGAGAAAGTGGCAGAACAAAAGACCTAGTTGGCTGAATAACTCAGTACGTGCATTTCTTAGCCGTCTTCTGCCAAACAACAACGTGAAATCACCAAAATTTTCGTTGTCCAGGAAAGGAAACACCGACGGAAAATTATCTAAGTTTTAATTGAACTTAACCCCGCTCACATAAGTTATGCTGAGGTTAAGATGAGGCACCGCAACTGACAGTAAGCACACCCAGCCATTCACGAAATTCTTACTATCAATTTCAATAGGCCATTTTACAGTTGTGTACTTAGTTGCCAAGCCTTTGATTCAGAGTGAGGTAGAAGGCGACCTTGTTGTGATAGAGACCTGTATCCACTTAGCATGATAACAAAGTGATTTACCAGATACGTTGAATATATGAGGTTCATATATTTTGAACTGAGGTTATAGACGATACGTATGATGCACAATCCTCGCAGTAGAGAGTGCTATTTATGCAATAGCGAAAATCAGACCTGAAAAAAATCAGGCCTGTACGGGAATCGAACCACTGACCTCTGCGATAACGGTCTTAACGGCCTGCTCCCAGTTGGCTTGTTAGCTCAATTGGTAGAGCGCTGCACTAGTATCGCAGAGGTCAGTAGTTCGAATCCCGTACAGGCCTGATTTTTTTCAGGTCTGATTTTCGCTATTGCTTAAATCAGAGCTCTCTACTGCGAGGATCGTGCATCATACTTAAAGTTATTTACATTTGAAAGGCAGCAAGGTTTGTATCATAACAAGGTCACCCCTAGCCTCACTCCCGTTCAAAGGCTTGGCAATCAAGCACACAACTGTAAAATGGACTATTCATTTTCGACGTTTTCTTCCCCGTTGTCGTTCTGACTACTTAAGATCTCTAATTACAAAAAAGACAAGGCATTTGCGTACAAAATATTCTTTATTTGCAGATTACTTCTCATATTTTTTCAGCCTTTTCTTCATATATAGCCTTACAGGCGCGTGAACTTTTCTTTATAAAATTAAAATCTTTATTTACAACCAAGTACAAATCTTTCTACAATACGGTACGATAAAAAAATTTACGATAACAGCTAACCTACATCTTCCGTTGATTCGGCTTGGTTTTAAATACAATGCTACAAAAATATCTTCCCACAAGTGTTACACTTTAGAATTGAAGACCAATTCTTTTTTTCAGAAATGTAGACATCGAGTTTCTGAATGAAAAAGACTGGAAGACATGAGAACTTTCCTCGCTAAATTCATACTTTGCACAGCCTTGGGGTAACATGACCAAACTGTCAGTTCTTTCGAAAATATTTTCCAGGATTCCTTTAAAAATTGGGATTTCAGCGAGATCCATAAATCATTTTAAAAGCATTATAGGGCCCGATGAGCTTTAAACAAACCACAAGAATGCATAACTTAAGCGCCAAGTTAAATTCCCCCCAATTGACTCTGTATTTGGTCAGTTGGGTGAATTTGAGGGCAAATAATGGCGGATAATTACGATAAACCTGTTTACCGAGCTTCGATTTTCCATCCTATAATCTCTTTAGGAAATCTTGTGTTGAGAAACAGAGCTGCAAACTCTACAACAAAACAAATAAATAAAAAAAAACAACACCAACAAAAAGAGCCTTGAAAGCCGTCTCTAGACAATAAAGGTATGTGTCCTTCATGAAGAAAACGTTTATAAAAAATAATTTGAAAGCTTTTTCTTGTAAATGGCTGTTTGGACTTCTAAGAATGAATTGAGATTTTAAAAAGTTTTCA